CCCCAAAACCCCAAAACCCCAAAACCCCAAAACCCCAAAACCCCGCACTATAAAATCTGCTAGAGTTTATATTAATTAAAACTAAATGGAATTAAAAGTACTACCAAAAAGAGCAGTAAATGTAAGTTTACACCTAAATATTCCATTTCTCTATTCCTAATCTTCTACAAGTTCTCAAGTATTTGTATAGAAAGACCAACTAAGACTTTCACAAAGACTTAGACCTAATCTGAGGCAAAGAGTTATCAAACCGAAAAGAGTCAGCAAAAGGTAAGAATTTACTTCATTCGCTATTCTGTTGCGTTACTCGATCAGACCTTCTATTTTGAAAACATATGCTAACTTATTTCTAGGAATGTGCTGAGTCTTAGCAGAGAACATGAATCTCTAAAACTTAGTATGAAGCTTCGCAAGTTTGCTAGGTGTAAGAACAAGGTAAGTTGGTGTTCTTTTAAGTAAACTTCTATTCTGGATAGTTCTCAAAGTTCCATTTAGATCAAGAATGTTGAAGATTTCAGAAATGTTATCAAATCTCTCGTCTCTCCTAGAAGAAAAGCTAAACCTACCATGAGCTCTTCTATTAATTTCCAGAAGATCCAAAACAGAAGAGTCCTTTCTGCTGAAAGACTTAGAGCTGATGCATCAGAGAAACAGAGGCAAATGGAGTTCTCTATAACTGAATTTCATCAGAAAATGATCTATCGTATCAGCAGAAAGCTTGAGCAAAGCAAGATTGTGAATGGCAGATTTTGCTCCCCTGTTGTGCTTCGTCAGAAAGCAACTGATTTCCAAAGGTATGTATAAGCTTGATAGTCTAAATTCTACATTTCTGATCTTGTTTTTGCCTTGTATGACTTAAAAACAAAATCTGACATCTTCCTATAGTAACAGAGGCTCTTCAAAATCGATCAGTGAAGCTTCCAATTTCAGTGGATCAGTGCTTCCTGAAATTAATAAGGGAAATCTCAACTTTTAAATCGGTTAGGGAATCCAAAGAGCAAGCCTAATTACAGTCACTAAGAATCCTAAATCGCACGCAATTGTTGCGAATTATTTAAGCTATCTATAAAAAATTACCTAAAATACCTATACAATACTCCTTACTCACATCCACTTGTGATCCTCTACATACACATAAAACTTCATAATAAGTTTTTCACAATTTTAATTACTAGTGTTAGAACGTAGCACCTAAAAATGTGGGGTTGGAGGAATAGAAATTTGGATGGTTTTAGAAGGAGTATGGATCTATGTGAGGTTATTAGGAGAGGAAAGTTGGATTTGTAATTGAATTTGCTCATGTGATGTTTTTGGGAAGATTTGGGGTTTTGGAGTTTTAGGTGAGTTAATAGGGGGGAATTGATGAATTTTTGGGAAATTTGCAATTGGAGGATCTTGTAATTGCCTTCAAGTCAAATTTTCTGTTATTTGATCACCTGTTTTGTCTTCTAAATTGATCAGTAAGAATTTCTGTAAAGAAATGAAGATATAGCCTTCTTCTATAACAATGTAATATTTTTAGATGACCTAAATTTCTGATCACCGGCGAATGATCCCTTGTGAGCCAGTAGAACTCATAAGCCTAGAAGTCGTTCTATGAGCTAAGTAATAGTGCTAGAGATTACCGCAAGGAAATTATACAAGTTTTTAGTGGTTTCAGAAGCTACATCTAAATCCTGATGTTCTTTTTATGCATTTTTCATGAATCTAATCTGGGAAATTCTGATGTGCCGAATAATTCCTTGAAATTTTATATAATTTGCATAATGGTAAGGGAAGCTAATATATATTTCTTCTATAAACTTGAGATAAATTTTTGACAATTGAAAGACTTTTTAATGCGATAGTACAGTTCCAGGGCGGCTTATTCTCGTTTTGTCTGCTCTCATTATCTAATCATTCATCTATCAAAGACATCTTAGATAGAAGAGAAGTTCTTCTCGAGAGGCATAAATTTGGACGGGGCGGCTGCAACCAAGCTTTAGACAGGTTTTATTCATATTTTGTACTAAAAATTTCGCATAAATTGGTTATTCCAAATATTTTGAAGGCACTTAAATTTTCGAATTATATTTGGAAATTTGGAGTTCTATTAACGCATCAGTCTAGATTTACTGACAAATTAGGAATTTAGACTACAGCTAATTTGGGGACATAACATTGGAAAGAGAGAACAAGAGCTGCAAGTACTAGCCGCTTTGAGATCTTAGGAGGACTAACAGTTAGAATTAGATTTTTATATACTTTTCTGGAGATATCAGAAATTATAGAATAACTCAATCTTGTGTGGCGATACAGCTATGATATAATCTCAGCCGATTTTTCGAGAAGGCAGAGGATCAATACTCATTTTTAAAGGGCATTTAATAAATGCCTTGTATTATGAAGTTCAAGGATTATTAATGCCTAAAACCTCCATTTACAGAACATGGATTACCTATATATAATTTCGTGCAATAGTCTGACACGTTTTAGGGGTTTTGGGGTTTTGGGGTTTTGGGGTTTTGGGGTTTTGGGGTTTTGGGG